ATTATAATTAATTTTATTTTTTATTTTATGTGTATGGAACAAGGATCAGAAACCCTTTCCGTTACAATGGTGCTGAAGGTAATTGCCCTGTTTGTTCTTTTTATCATGTTAAAGTAGTCTTTTGCCTTCTTCCCCTGTTTTTTGGATTGGGACATATAAGCATATGGAAAATAAACGTGGATGAATTCAGTATTCATTGGATTGCCCTCCCAGTTCTATTCTGTGTCTCTGTTCTTTTTCTTTCGTATCTCTGTTTCTTCTAAGAGTTCTAATCCTTACGCTGCTACCCTGGAACATGTGAACCCCATCAAGGATGAACCCCAACAGATGGCACCCTCAATGTGGGGTCCTGACAAGCCTGCAAGTATGTCTGTGCACCATATATGTGCCTGGTGCCCTTGGAGGCCAGAAGAGAGTGTCAGATTCCCCTGGAACTTGAGTTACAAGAGATTGTGAGCCACCATGTAGGCACTGGGAATCAAACACAGATCCTCTGCAAGAGCAGCCAGTGCTCTTAACTGCTGAGTCATCCTCCAGTCCCAGTTAGAATAAATTTTATTCTGTCAGAATCGTCTCTGTTGCTTGCAAATCAAGAACTTCATCACTAACACAGAGGACAGCCGAGCTGGAGGGAAACATTTGCTTAAGGGCAAATAGCACAGCCATGCATTGCCATAAAAACCACAGCGCTCTCTCTCTCTCTCTCTCTCTCTCTCTCTCTCTCTCTCTCTCTCTCTCTCTCTCTCTGGAATACTAATAATACTACAATGTAACCCAATCCTGACTTTATCTACCCAGAGTTACCATCAACTTCCACCAGCTGAAGGGCTCAATCCCCACAGGACTGACCCTATTTCAAATGAAAAATTCAAGTCCAGGTCTCCTGTATTCTGACTGATCAGCTATGCAAACTGGGTGCTCCTATGGCCCTCTCCTTGGGGTTAATAAGTTGCTATAAAGCTGGACCTAGTGGCACACACACACACACACACATACACAATGTGCACACGCATGAACGCATGCACACCACAGACACACACACACACACACAAAAGTTGCTAGAACAACTTATAAAACTCAAAAAGGCATTTTCCTTTTGTTTGCTGGTTTATTAAAAAGATACAAATCAGGAACAGGAGATGAGAGAGATGCACAGGGCAAGGAGAGGCTGCTGTCTGAAGCTTCCATGTCCTCTCCAGGGGCGCACATCACCTCCCAGCACCTGGCAAACCTGCAGGCTCATTAAGTCTCATTATTAAAACAAAACAAAACAAATAAAACCTTCCCTGTTCTCCTCTCCTATCTAATTATATATCCAGACTGGGCCTAGAATCTCAATCCTGCTCCCCCAGCCTCAAGAGTTGTTTTCTGGTTTGGTTTTGTTTTCTTAAATGGGGCTTAATCTTCCATTTCCTCTCCTTCCCAGGGGTCAGGGAGCTGGGAAATTCTGAGGGAGCAGGGAAATTCTGGCCCCCATCCCTTGGCTTTTCTGTTGACTGATTCCTTTCTGGGGCTGTCAAGGGCTTCCAACCCTAACTCAAGCACAATCAGAAAGGGTCAATCCAAATAACAAGAGGCGGTCTTTAGGAAACAGCTCAGTGTCAGGAACCAGGAACAAGGACCAAATACTGTTCCAGTTATATGTGCTTTACTTGGTGTCCCCACCCTGCTTTTGCCTTGGGAACCGTCTTGTTCAGTCCCTTGCTGGCTGATTTTCCATTGGTTCTGGGCAAAGGGGAACACGACAATGCCCCTCTCATGGAATCTTCGTCATGTGGCCATCAGATGATGATAAGACTGGCTAGCTTTCCCAACTGCACGACTACCCTCTTCCTCGTGTGTTCTCCACGCCTTACTTAACCTGTTGTGAATCGCCCTTTGTAGTACCTAAAATGACTCGATGAATCCGAGGTTCTGGGCAGTTTCTTGGAAGTGGTAATCCCTTGCAGTCAAGGTTCTGAGTCCGTGAATTCAACTATGTGTAGACTGGATACTAGAGAAAGAAATCATGCTTGTGCTGAGCAGGAACACTTTCTGTCATTACTTCTATAATAACTGTCCACACAGCACTCACATTGTTATAGAGTATTATAAGTAATATGCTTGAAAGGCTACAAGGGAACGTGTGCAAATTCTACACAAAAATCATTTAAGGGACTGGAGCAGGTAAGAGTTTCAGGCTTCACACGATGTCCTGAAGCCAATCTCCTGTGGATACTTGAGGACAGTTTATTTTATCAGAGTATTACTTCCTTACCTTCTTAGCTGTTCAGACTGGGAGTTGGGCTCATAGAGATAAAAATATCTTGACATAGACCCAGGCACAGCTCAGGCTGCAGGCAGGTCATTCGGCTTCCGTAGAGTGCCACACTCCAGAACTGCCACTTCAAGCTGATGACTGGAAGCCACGTGGTTAGGAAAGACTGTGCATGGAGAAAACCTGGACATCTTTTTGGTTTGAGACGAAGTATTAATCTTGGATTTCTCTACAAGAAGTGATGGACGGTGGTTGATTCAGGTGTTGGACCAGTCTCTCCTGCAGTGGTCCCTAAACCTGTTGCCATGGCTCCCCTTGAATAAAGCCTTCCTTAGCGATGGTTTAATGGCTGTCACTGATTTTCTTTCTTTCTTTCTTTCTTTCTTTCTTTCTTTCTTTCTTTTCTTTTTCTTTTCTTTCTTTCTTTCTTTTTCTTTTTCTTTCTTTATTTTTTTTTTGACAGGGGTTCTCTGTGTAGATTTTTGTAGCCTGTCTTGGGATTTGCTCTGTAGACCAGGCTGGTCTTGAAATCACAGAGATCCACCTGCCTCTGCCTCCCGAGTGCTGGGATTAAAGGCGTGTGCGCACCACTGCCCGACTATTATTTTCTTTAAGAGAATATTTTCTTTAATGACATCCAAGAGATCAGGGAAAGCCTTGGCGTCCAAGAGAATCTCAGACTTGAGAGCCGGTGATGGCTCATGAGAGGCAAGGACAGAATCGGCCCGGGTCTGCCATGGAGAGATCCTGTCTCAGTCTGTTGAGTCTACAGTGAAGCCGGCATGCAAGTAAATGCTTGTGGGAAGAGCGAGTCAATAGATGGTCGTATCCTGTGATCCTAGCACTGGGGAACTGGAGACGCAGAGTGGAGGCAAGAGGGCACTGAGTTCAAGACAGTCTAGGATACACAGCAAGGCCCCATCTCAAAACACAAACAAGCTGGATGTGGTGGTGCACACTTGGGGGTGAGGACTGAAGCAGCTGGAGGGTCAGGGGTTCAAGGTCTTCTCCTGATACATAAAGTTTAAGGTCAGCCTGGACTACATGATATTCTGCCTCGAACAACTCATCTTGATCAGAGGCTACAAGGGTAACTGGGCCTATTGTCCATCAGTTCCTTCATTTGCTGACTCAGTAGAACATGGGGTGGGAGTGGGTGTGTGTGTGTGTAGCCATCAGGGGAGCTGTACCATACTGCTAGGCCCCTCCACATATCAAACTCAATGTATATTTACATTCCAGCCACACAAACGAGGCTCACATACATTGGCAAACAGGACCTGCAAGTTAAATCCACAACATGGCAGTCACGATTAAACCTTTAACAGTTTCTGCCTCATTAAAAGAACAGTTTCATTCTGTCAAGGCCAAGTGTTGGTGATGTGAACTGGAGCTACCAGAAGAAAGGAGGGGACTGGCTGAAATTGCTGCTGCTCTACGGACCACGAAAACATCAGTCGGTACAGCAACACAAGAGAGAAGTCTGGGTGTTGCAAATAGCTCTAGACCAGCCAGTACTTTGGTTTGCCTGGGAGAAATGATTGTTCCTACGTTAAAAAAAAATCTCCAGAAATGAGCGCTGTTTGCAGCGTAGGAAAGCTAGGAACAACTTGGATGTTAATCATCCAGCAAACAGAAGAAAGAAATCTTGGTGTTTGCTAAAATAACCCCCTGCTGCACTAGAGGGAGAGTGGGCGAGATGAGCATGCTCACATATGCAAGAATAAATGTCATTTTCAGGGACCTTAAAGTCGGAAGCCAGGCATGGTGGCATGCATTGTAAACCCGAGCAGTGGAGAGGTGGAGGCAAGAGTTCAAGGTCAGCCTAGATTATAGAGACCTTGATTCACAAAAACAAAGAAAACTGGGGAAGAGGAGGTTAGGGAAGAGGAGGTTGGGGAAGAGGAGGTTGTGGGAGGAGGGAAACAGCTATGACATCTGTAGCTTGTGAACACTCTTACATTGTTGTAAGAACACACACACACACACACACACACACACACACACACACACACACGAAGTAGAGGGGCAGGCAGAAACAGGTGCCATATTCCCTTCAGCCAATCACTGCTATAAGGTTCTCCCTCAGATGGTTTTTGGGCACTGGGAACCCAGCCCACAGCGTTATGGGGTCTAATGTGTGCAAGCCCTCTTTCTTCAACCTCTCTCCAGGTAGAGTGCCAGGTTTGGCCTCAGCAGACATTGACCTACAACTAACGGGAGTGGAGGGGGAGTGGGGAGGGGTGAGGGGGTGGGGATGTTGGAGTCACAGCTGTCTTTTTAGCAGCCTGGAGCTCACTTCTGCTCTTTGGTTTCTAATCCTCAACGATCCACACGTGGGTAGCTCTGCCTTTGGTGTAGAGAAAACTTTGAGGTTAAGCACATGCCCACACCAGCTACCGCTGGTCAGAAAATCCTTACTGGGGTCTTACCCAAACACTAAGTCCAGCTCGGAAACCCAACAGGCTTTGTTTAAAGCCGAGGCCGAACCCAGTTAGGAACAGGGGTGTCCAAAGAACACTTACACACACACCCCGACACGTTCTCAGCCCTCGGCTTCCAGGATTGGACCGGTTTATTTTTACCCAGGGAGAAGGCTGAGAGTGGAGGCGAGACGCCGGTGAAAACCAACTGCTCCTGGCCCCTCCTCCACGCGGGGGGCGGGGTCACACTCTGTCCCAGCTGTAGAAAACCAGAACTCCCTATGCTGAGACTGTCTGGTCGGACACATTTACATCTCAGGGAGAATTGTTTATTGAGACAGATAGTCCTCAAGATAGCCTGCTCTGCCTGAGCAAGCAATTAAGAGAAATAAACAAGTTTATAAGTAAACAAAAGAGCGATCACAGATTTCTCAAGCCTGTCTTGCCCTGCATGAATCCTTTCGTAGAGCTGTGTGGACTTCACCGAAGCCCAGAGCCCACTCCTGGAAGAGCCCCGACCAACTCCCTCCCCTTCTCACAACTTCCTTCTGGTGGGACAAGTCTGTGACCCTTGCTGCCATGATAATCAATGCAGGGTCATCTGCTGAGGTCAGATTTTGGTCTCTTTCCCGCCTTTTGCTCCTTTATTCTTCGCTCCTAAATCAAACAGAAGAACTGAGGTTCAGAGGGGACACCGCAGGAACAGTAGAGGCCAGCTGTATTAAAAACAATCCCCTCTCCCGGGTCCCCCTTGGAACTCACCTGCTCTTCTACACCTCCGGGTGTCCTAGACTGGGTACCACCCAGGACGGTCGCAGAGCTTCGCCAGGAGCCGCCTCCGGTCAGCTCTGCACTGCCCTGGCTCCATCCGGTGCAGATTTAATTCTGAGGATGTCCCACAGGGCACAGACACTCTTGTCGCCAGGTGGCGACAGACTGCACATTCTGAGAAGCCAGACTTAAGTTTATTTACGTGTGTGTGTGTGTGTGTGTGTGTGTGTGTGTGTGTGTGTGTGTGTGTGTGCGCGTGCGCACTTCTGGGAGTCTGATTTCCCCTTCCAGCAGGTGAGTTATAGGGATCAAACTCAGGGCATCAGGACTGGCAGCAAGCATTTTTACCTGCTGAGTCACCTCAGGTGCCCACATTAATTTTTAAAAAAGGGTATGTCTTTGTTTTTTTATTAATTACTTTTAATTTTTTCTTTCTTTTTTTCTTTTTTTCGGTTTTTCGAGACAGGGTTTCTCTATATAACAGCCCTAGCTGTCCTGTAACTAGCTCTGGCCTCTAACTTGCAGAGATCCGCCTGCCTCTGACTCTCAAGTGCTGGGATTAAAGGCGTGCACTATCACTACCCAGCTATAATTTTTTTACTTTCATTTTATGTGCATTAGTGTTTTGCCACAGGTCTTGGGTCCCCTGGAACTGCAGTTACAGACAGTTGTGAGCTGCCATGTGGGTGCTGGGAACTGAACCCGGGTTCCCTGGAAGAGCAAGCAGTCAGTGCTCCTAACCGTTGAATCATATCTTCAGCCCCGTCTTTGTTCTTTCTTTTTTTTTAAATTTATCTTGTCTTAAAATTCCTAGTCCAAGTTCAGAAAAAAAAATTTTAAAGATTATTTTTATTTCCTGCAAATAGTGTTTCTCCTCTGTCAGTGTGCACCACTTGCATGCCTTCAGAGTCAAGAAGAGGGCAGAGGATCTGGAACTGGAGCTGCAGATGGCTGTGAACTCCTCTGCGAGTCCTGGAGTCAGGGGCCCTGTGTCCTCTGAGAGAACAGCAAGTGGTCCTGAACCACCTTCGAACCATTCAGAAACATTTGAAAACTTAATATGTAAAGTAACTTGTTCTTGCTCATTATACATTATAAGAAACTTGAAAAAAATTCCTAGTCTAGCACTTAGAATTCTAATGAGGCTTCTTTGGGCTCTGGAATTTGGCCAGTTAAAAAACAAACAGTTACGCGGTGGTGATGCACAACTTTAGTCCCAGTACTTGGGAGGCAGAGGCAGGTGGATCTCTGAATTTGCAGCCAGCCAGGTCTACAGTGAGAGTTCCAGGACAACCAGGGGTATACTGAGGAAACCCTGCCTTGAAAACAAGACAAAACAACTAGCCCCCCAAAGTATTACACACACACACACACACACACACACACACACACACAAGATAATGACTACTAATGATTTAGTCATTGGAAACTGACTTGTTTTGAACAATTTGGATAAGAAAAGTCAGCCCAAACTGTTTGGGTTGCCTAAAAGAAATTGCTGGAGTAGTTACTTTAAGGCAGGCCCAAGTCTGAGTTTGCCATAGGACTTCTCAGAGTCTTCCAAGCCCCATGGTAACACGTCCATCATCTGGAATTTGAGTCCGTCAAGGCACTCCTATAAATCAGAGTTTGTATAATTGATTGCTGGGGTTAGGTGCTATATTGTGAGGTATTCAGCCACATATCTAAGTATAGATGGTCATTAGGATACACTATGCTGTGATAGAAAATATATGCTGTTATAATAAATTGGCCATTATATCTATGAACTGGCCATATTTTGACATTGCTACTATTGATAGCAACATAGTAATACAATTGGTTGGAGTCCCTTAATTCTTCCTTCTTCTTAGTAGGAAGTTCTGTTGTTCTCAGCCCCAGGCATCTGAATCTAAAACAGAAATACTCTAGGCTGAGCACGGTGGCCCACACCTGCAGTCCCAGCACCTGGAAGACAAAGGTAAGAAAACTGTCATAAGCTCAGGGTGGCCGAACCTACATAGTGAGCTATAGACAGGGATATATCGTGAAACTAGAAAACAACTGCTTCAAAAGGGGGGTGGGGCAGTGAGACGACTCAATGGGTAAAGACACTTGGTGAGCAAGCCTGGCAACCGCCCAAATTCAAGATCCAGATCCCAGGCAAAAGTGGAAGGAAAGAACCAATTCCACAAAGTTATCCTTTGCCCTCAACCCACGAGCCATAGCAGGTGCATACACACATACAGACACAAACATACAGCACACATTGGTAATAGCAATCAATTGACTAAATAGGCTGTTAAGATTGCCCAATAGGCTGTCATGCAAGCCCAATGACCTAGGTTTGGTCCCCAGAACTGCGACTGGGAGGACAGAACTGATTCTTGAGGGTTGTCCTCTGACATCTGCACCATGACACGGGCATTCACTGTGTGTGTGTGTGTGTGTGTGTGTGTATGAGCGCGCGCATGTTGGGATTCCAGGCAGGTGCCACCATGCCTGGGTTCTTAGACACTTTTAAATTTCAGCTAAAGTAGGCCGCCCACACGGTCTCTTTAGTTCAGCTGAGTGTGTCTTGACGATCGTGTGTTCATAACATTTCTAAACAAAAAGGGGCAAAGGGGCAGTGAGCAGGAGAGGAGCTGGATGTTGGGTGAGCAGCAGATGAAAACCTCTGAATGCTAACGAATAAATGTTCCAATTCAACTGCTCTGACGGGAACCCTCCAAAGCTCTTCACAAAATAGTGTCCTTAGAGAGGGAATCGCTAGCAACCAGCTCCACACAGACCAGAGGCTACAGGCCAGACCAAACAGGAGGTCCAACCTGAGGAAGCAAAATGGTTAGCTGGGCACAAAGGCCTGTCCTGGTATATGGCACTGATCTGGGTCGTTCCTCTAGTGAAAACGGATGTTCTTAGGGTCCCACATGGAGCACCAAAGCTGCCAAAGCTTACCTCTCACCCCAAGGGGAGCATGGGATTATTCTGTCAACTATAAATGAGCATGGTTTGGGGACATAGATTCAGCTTTCACTGAGTATGTTCTAACAAGAAACGGTTCCGTGTGTTGCCAGGCAGTGGTGGCACACGCCGTTTAATCCCAGCATTTAGGAGGCAGAGGCAAACGGATCTCTGGGTTCGAGGACAGCTTGGTTTACAGAGTGAGTTCCAGGACAGCCAGAGCTACACAGAGAAACCCTGTCTCAAAAAAAGAAAACCCCACCAAACGAACAAACAAAAAGGAAAAGAGGAGGAGGAAGAGGAGGAGGAAGAGGAGGAGGAAGAGGAGGAGGAAGAGGAGGAGGAAGAGAAGCATCTGTTTCTTGAACACCTGTAGTGGCAGAACAGAGTCAAGACAGCCATTAAATGTGTTTCTGGGGGAGGCAGTAGGCGGGCATTCTCTAACACTACCCTCCAAGCATGACAACCACTGTCACAGCAACGAGATTACTTGCAAAAGAGCCCCCAAGACTGAGCCTGCGAACATTTCGTCAAAGAAGAAGACGGGGAGGGTCACTAGACCCTCAGCTGAGACTCCAGTCACTTCTATGCCTCTTGTCCCAGCTGTCTGTAATTTTTGCCCCGGCTGCATGTGATCTTGGGAGGCGACATCGTACCTAGAACATGGAAGATTAGCTGAAGGGGAACTCCATCTCTGCAGCTGTGGAGAAGTGGTCATTCACACTGAAGTGAGACTTCCCAGTGGTCTGGCTGCTTTGGGGCCACCATACACCAGTAAGTAGCCCCTCCCCCATGCTCTGTAATTGATGTAGGTGGGTCTTATTTCTATTTGTTGCTTTCATTGGTTAATTAATAAAGAAACTGCTTGGCCTGATAGGTCAGAACAGAATGCTGGGAAGAAGGTAATGAGGCAGACACCATAGCTCTCCTCTCCGAGATGGACCCCGGTTAGACTCGTCCCAGTAAGTAAGTCAAGTGGCAATATGCATTAATAGAAATGGGTTGAATCAATATGTAAGAGCTAGCCAATAAGAGGTTATAACTAGTAGACCAGGCAGTGTTTAAATGAATACAGTTTCCATGTAATTATTTCAGGGGTAAGCTAGACGGGATCCAGGCGGGAACGCAGCCCACCATTCCTTTTACATGTAATGGGGACTCTGGTCCTGCCATTGGTGCCTGCCTATCTGGCCTATCTGGGAGAAATAGACATTTATCCACATGTCCCTGGAAAATTTCGTGCAACATAATTGGGGTTCAGGGTTCTGAGGCCGTCCCCACTTCAGCCGTCTCTGTTTCCCCCCACTCAAGGCAATGCAGCGGACCACCTTTAAGCACAGCAGGCCAGCCACAGGGCTGACTGCGCCAATACCAATGGGTCTCCCGCAGCTCTCATCCATGCTATCTCTATCCTGACCTCAGTTTGCTCACCTGGAAAAGACGGACATTATGAACTGACTGGCCCCAGGCACAGATGTTATAGGCCCCTATGTGTGTCAGGACCAAGCCTTCTGTGACCACCACGTTCTGCTGCTGCTGCACTCTTCTCAAGCCGGGGACCCATGGGTGTTAGATAGACAGCTGCTGGTTAGCTCAGTCCAGGCTGGAGATAGGGGTGACCAAGACCTTGGGCTGCTCCGAACCCAAAGTCAAACTTCCTCTCATCCCTGGAACTGGCAAGTGTTCACTCAAGTTCTGGATCTTATTTTCAACTTAATGGCTTAAGACAAAAAGAATGAAAATAAACTCAACCCTATGACTGACGGTCTCCTCCTGGCTGTTCTTTGATATTCGAGGACTAAGCAATCTGGCTGATTGCGGCGGGGGGGGGGGGGGATTTGAAACCAGAATAATTAGGAGGAGAAATGTGGCTGGGCTGTGGTGGTACATGTCTTTAATCCTAACACTTGGGAGGTAGAGGCAGGTGAATCTCTGCAGCCTCAAACTACATAGTGAGTTCCAGATAGTCAGGTGTAAAACAGAGAAAGCCTTTCAAACAAAAGAGAATCAAAAAACAAAACAAAAAAGAAAGAAAGAAAGATAAGAAGAAAACTGTCCGAAGTGTCACTAGCCCACTGGAGCACATGACTCTGGCTAGTGCGGTGCCCTTCTCCCCCATTCCCTTTGCCTTGCTAATAACCCTTAGTTACGTTCCTCAAGCTAGCCCCCAGGGTCTATTCCCTTATTTGGCCACTTCCTCCTTCTGAGGTCCAGCTGACAAAGTATTGAAGTCCAGCTTTGAAA